GTTGGGGTGAGCGTTTTTGCGGTGGAAACACCAAACTGGGTCAGAATCGAGTTGGGGTTAGGTGTTTCCACCGCAAAAACGCTCACCCCAACCCGATTCTGACCCGACTCTAGCCCGACTCTGACCCTTGGTGGAAACGTAGTCAATCACAGTCGCACATTCTACTCAAGCCTCCGCTACAATGATTCTCGGTTCTGTCTACAATGGTCGTAGTCGTAAGAATAATCGACTGCGATTGGTCAATTCTTATCGAGCGACTACGACTACGACCATTGTAGACAACCGAGAATCATTGTAGCGGAGGCTTAAATCATCTATTGTAGACTAGGACTTGTACTTTCTATTTGTAAAATAATTAAATTGTATAAATTACATCTATTTTTACATACATATGTATATGTGTGTAAACATTTTTGATAACTTTTTAGAAACAACTTTTATACTCTTCAAACTCTTGATAGCGGGGTGCAACAGTGCCCCATTCCACTAACCCTAGGCACTCTACTGACGTCGTGTCGCCGCGCGTGCGCAGAGCAGCCCGGCTCGAATCGGAACACCGCGGCCCGTCCAATCGCGCGGGGCGACGCATAGGGAATTGCGACGGCACGTGCCCCGCGCGCGTGCGAGAGGGACTTTATCGCGCGGTCGCGCGCGGCGTACACGGGGAGTTCCGGCAGGAGAGACACACGCGAATACGTTGTTCTTCGGGTTCTTCCTCTCTCTCCGTGGAGACGACGCTCCGGGAGCTGTCACGAGGGGCGAGCGATCGCATGGTTCTGGCGCGATGCTGCCCACGCCACGCCGCGTCCCACGCTGATAATTGAATCCCGTCACCGGCTCCCGACGAATATTCGCCGTCGGCTGGCAGAGACTCCACGACGAAGACCGCCCGCTCGTGCGTGCTCATTGGCGCAGTCCTGTGAATCCTGGTGGACGTGCACGTTAAGAGTCTGTCATGACGACGTACATGAAGGTTAGTCGCGGCGCGAGCTGAGTTCCAGCGCGAGCGAGAGGGACCGCGGGGCTTGGCCCCCGGGGTCCCGTCCGGCCGAGGGTCAATGTTATCTCGCCGCCGATAACGGGCGCGTCCCGACCACGCGAAACAACCAGCGTCGATATTTCAATCTCTCCGATTCAAGAGTCTTCCCCCCCCCCCTCCCGTTGCGTCAACGGTCCACGTCGCGACGATTGTTCGAATTCGCGTGGCGCGTGTCCCCCGACATGTACCCCGGTCTTGTTTCCGTTGGTCTAACACGTGGTGTTGATATTCAGGACAAGACGCAATTCACGTTCGAGGACAAATGGCCGTACATGCGTCCGATTATTCTGAAGCTGCTCAAGCAGGAGCCAGTGACGCAGGGGGAATGGCAGGATTTGTTTTACTCCGTTCACGTATGCCTGTGGGACGACAAGGGGCCTCCCAAGTTGCACGAAGCTTTGCACGATGATATAATGGATTTTATAAAACAAGCTCAACAGGTAAGAGAAAAACCAAGGGCTTTGACATATCTTGTTTACGTTGTCTCGTCGAAGCGATCGAGTATACGTTGTGGCTTTGTGCAGAGAGTTTTAGCGCATCAAGAGGAACAGGCGTTGTTGAAAGCGTACATTGCTGAGTGGAGGAAATTTTTTACCCAATGTAATTATTTACCGACGCCGTTTAGGCAACTAGAAACGTATCTCGCAGGAAAAACTAGCACTGGGCAGAAGAAGAATCAGCCCGACGACATTGTTAGGAAGGTAAAGCTCGAGTGATGTGATCAATGCTGTGTAATTTTGCACAATCTGACTCCTGTCTGTTGCACAGCTAATGCTGGACAGTTGGAACCACAGTATATTTAATGAGATAAAGCAGAGACTCCAGGATGTGGCCATGAGATTAGTACAGGCTGAGAGAAACGGCGAGGCGTTCGATTCCCAGCTAGTTATCGGCGTCAGAGAATCCTATGGTAATAAATGAAGCGGCACAAGCCGAGTTTGCGTGTGGCAAAATATTGCTTCATTGATGGCTTAATGTCGTAACGTTTCAGTGAACCTGTGCTCAAATCCGATGGACAAGCTTCAGATATATAGGGAAAATTTCGAGGCGGCTTATATACAGGCCACCGAGGCGTTCTACTGGATGAAAGCGCAGGAGTATCTGTCTATGCAGGGGGTAGAAAATTATATGCGCTACGCCGACTTGAAGCTGAGGGAGGAGGAGGCGCGCGCTCAGAAATACTTGGAGCCGAATACCGCGAGTATGCAACGGTTAACGGACTGTTGCGTGAAGGTGTTGGTCGCGACCTTCAAGACGGCGATACTCGCCGAGTGTCCGCACATGATACAACATAATCAAACTGACAGTAAGTGATCGCCCGCCGCGTAATTTCGCAATAAAAATACTGTAACGGTACTCGGCTTGCGACGCGTTCGATTCTACGGTGTCGCTGCTGCGATTAACGAGAGCGAATGATTGTAGAACTTCGCCTCATGCTGAAACTAATGGACAGAGTGCCCGACGGCGTGATTCCTATGCTGAGAAACTTGGAAGAACATATCGCGAGCGCGGGTCTAGCGGATATGATGGCAGCTGTAGACGTTATCACTCAAGATTCCGAGAAATACGTGGAAAGACTGTTAGATCTTTTCCATAGATTTTCCACGCTCGTTAAAGAGGCGTTCGATGATGATCCGCGGTTTCTTACAGCACGAGATAAAGCTTATAAGCTCGTTGTGAACGACGCCACGGTATTTAAATTAGAATTGCCTACACGGCAGGGCTCTGGAATCGGTGGCGCGTCCGTTCTAAATAATAGACCTATTACTAATAATTCGAACGGACTAGCCGAGTCAAAGTGTCCGGAGCTCTTAGCAAATTTCTGTGATATGCTTCTTAGAAAAACACCACTCAGTAAGAAACTAACTACTGACGAAATCGAGAGTAAACTGAAGGATGTGGTCAGTATAAGCGACGAGATCGTTACATTCATACTTGAATTAGAGATCTAATCCTCTCTGACCAAATTCTGTATCGCATTTTATTTTAGCTGTTGGTGCTAAAGTACGTTCAAAATAAGGACGTATTTATGCGTTATCATAAGGCGCATTTAACTAGACGGCTAATATTAGATACGACAACGGATTCGGAGAAGGAGGAAAATATGGTGGACATGCTTCGCGAAGTCGGTATGCCCGCGGACTTTGTTAATAAATTAGCTCGTATGTTCCAAGATATTAAAGTGTCTCAGGACTTGAATCAACAATTTAAAGAACAATGCCGAGCTGCTATTGCGGATAGCATAAATATTAAGGTAACTGTACGTTTCTCTGCAACTTTATAAGTCGCTTTGTTTACGATTAGTATGAAACAATGGAAAAATACGTAAAAGATGGACATTTCAAAGTTTGCAATATTTCCGGCAGATTCTCAATGCGGGTGCATGGGCCAGGGGTAGCGAACGCGTCACCGTGAGTTTGCCGCTTCAGTTGGAAGATTATATTCCGGAGGTCGAGGAATTTTATAAGAAAAAGCATAGCGGGAGGAAGTTGCAGTGGCATCATCACATGTCGAACGGCACGGTACTTAATATATTAACAAAGTTCTATCCACGCTTGTGCAACACTCAAAGCGTGTTAATTCCAACTCTGCACATGTCACGACGTGGACGTTTCAGATAACATTTGCAAATAAAGTGGGACGCTTCGATATAGACGTAACGACCTTCCAAATGGCGGTGTTGTTCGCCTGGAATCAACGACCCAACGAAAAGATATCCTACGAGAATCTCCGGTTGGCCACCGAGCTTCCGGATCCCGAGCTGAGACGGACTCTGTGGTCTTTGTGTGCCTTCCCGAAGTTAAAACGGCAACTTCTTTTGGTGGAACCACATGCCACTACCCCGAAAGACTTTGCGAACGACACAAGATTTTGGGTTAATCAAGAATTTGCGATTGTGTTAGTATTTAATTAACAAACAATGTCGCACAGCGGATAGTACATAATCATTTGTCTTGACGATTGTCTCGTATGTATTTCTGGATTTGGTGTTCACGTGTGGACAGTAACGTGCCGTTTGTTCGGAATGTAATAGTAAGTAAATTACTGATTGCGATGTTTCTATTTTAGAAAAAATGGCAAGATGCAAAAGCGGGGAAAAATTAATTTGATAGGGCGTCTTCAATTATCAACGGAACGTAGCAGAGAAGAGGATAATCAATCTATCGTGCAACTCAGAATATTACGGGTTCAGGTACGGTATAAACTTTTACATGGAAAAATATCGATCGACATTTTAATTACTGACTATGAATAATTCACATCTTTTGTGCGACTATAGGAAGCTATCATCAAAATCTTAAAGATGCGCAAGAAGATCACTAACGCGCAACTACAGACCGAACTAGTGGATATATTAAAAAATATGTTTTTACCGAGCAAAAAGATGATAAAGGAACAGATCGAATGGCTCATCGAACACAAATATATTCGGAGACACGACGATGATATTAATACGTTTGTGTACATGGCATAACACGGGATTATATATACATGCGAGATTGTTCGAGCTCTGTGGTTAATATTATATTTTTATAAAAAAAAGAAGGATTTAGTTTTCTGATGAGGATACGTTCGAGTCCGTCGCATTGCGCGATTATGTTTTACCTCTTTTCTTACAGTGCAGCGAAAAGAAAGAGCCGACGATGTACTGTTGCATTCAGTCTTGAGATAAGAAGTCTATAGGAAAAGTTGCAATCATCTCCACTCGACAGTTTCTGATTATTGAACATTAATAAAGTGAAATGTATAGCAAAACTGGAGAAAGTGTCGCAATAATAATAAGAGAGATGTACAATATCGTACCACGATAAAACTAGCATTTACCGTTTATTTTGGCATTGATCTATATTAATCTAATTAAAGAAGAGAAAGTCGAATATTAAAATGAGAATAATATGTATATACATCGATGGCATTATCGCTATTTTAATCGTTTGTACTTGCTAAAAAAATATTCCCGAAATGTTTTTATATATATTTTTGTTCTCGAGTCCGTACTTCAACTAAATTTATGAAAAGCCTCCATTGTACATTATCGACATGCAGCAACAATTTGGCACTAAAAGCGATAGATCCTTGCACAAATCTGAACGATAGTGCACGTATATATGTATGTTGCATTAAATTCAATCGTAAACAATAAAATTCGCATATACTTGAATAAAATATTATATATATGTATACTATATAATGTTTTACATACGGATTTACTCGTCACTAATTAGATGTGAATTACTGGAGAACATTCGTTCGGACATTCTCTACACGGTGTAACACACTCTTGATTTAACCCTAGAATTTATAATCAAATTTGCGGACGGCGTTCGAAGGATGTTTATAATTTTCATTCTCAGAATACATATTAAAAAGCCCGACGGATAACGTCGACGAATGGCCTACAATACTTCAATGCGTGTAAGCATATATACCTCGCAACACCAAACTTGATTTTAACGGTGATAGAAATGCGTGCGTCTTTGTACGATGATTTTTTCTACATCTGGAACAGCCACGATGATACGAAATCGTCGGAATAAGTCAGAAAAAGTAGTTATTTAAGCAAATAATAACGACGGTTATGTGTATAAAGCTTTTATATAACTTCAAGTGAAAGACGAGTGTAATGGTATAAAATCTCAATGATGAATTAAACGACAGAGTATTTCATAACTGTGTACAATACGTCCTTATCGAAACGATTTTCATTTTACCTACTGCTATTATTATTATGCAATAAATTTCACGCGGCAACAAGTAGCACTTACGTTAGGCTACGTATATATATTGTATATAATATAGTATCTCAGAATTTTAACGTAAAATAATTTATATTTATATTTTCTCTCTTTGATACAAATCATTTGTACATTATTTTCTCTGGTGTAATAATTATTCGTATTATTTAGGATGTACGGAATTGTTGTAAAGAAAACTAAATGACAAAACGGTTTCACATCATTTCATCGCCGGGACAATGTAAACGGTAACCACACTATACAAAAGTAAGTTCTGCTATAAAGTATTTATAAATATTCAACAATTGTTTGTAGGTCACAGATCTTGCAGGAAATATATATATATATATACGTTTCACGTACAGAACATTATATACATATACACAATCACCACACTGCCTCGGCATAAATCAGTAACGCTGATATGATCACGTCTCGATATCTCTCTAGCTTATTCTTCTCTTTTCGCTAACTTAATCCTCTTAAAGACCAGAGTGATAACAATAAGTTTTCGTAAACTTCATTAACAAGAGACCATAGAGATATTAGCTTTAGGATAGCATTTAACGTTCATAGCTAATGCGAACTAGCTTTCTACGGAAAACACAGAACGAAGAGCCACACGATAGTTTTCGAGTAATATACATTCGTATACGCACACGTATCACATACATATTAATGCCATATATTTCCGTAGATTTTCTTCTCGCATGCACGCAAAACACAGGACGAGAAATTCAATAGAGATAATTTTGAAAGCGTTTCTCCCTCTCTTTCGAAACGGAAAGAGAGAGATCCACGAGAACAAATAAACAACGAAAGAAAGCTGTTAAAGTCGAACGTTTTTGATTCGATCGATTATTCTAACATTAGTATCATTTGTGGATTTACAACAAGATTGTTATTACGTGCTGTTTAAGAATACAATTAACACACTGACAATGAGAGGTAGAATTGCAAGATCTCTGAATACATCCCTAACGATTTTTGTCGCCGACGCATTAATCGTTGGCTTAATCAGATCGGACGTAATGTCTCTCACGATATGCAATCATTGACACTGAGTGAAACGTAGAAACGATATAGGCCAAATTTATTTAATTCCTCGAATCCCCACCGTGTATAGTTTGAGAAACAGAGCGCAAGCGTACCGTTGATGAATTCTCAATGGATAAACACAAACGAATTTTATATCCTCATCGATATATAACAACGGATATTTATAGGTCGTTAGTATTTATAGATCACTGCTACTCGCGGGAAGTTTGCTAAATACCAGACGCCGCAATCGTTGTCTGCGCCGTATCGAGCTACAATTGTTTTTTCACAACGCGTTACTTTCGCCAATTAAATACCAACCGCGCGCGCGCAATCAATTTTCGAATTACAATCCCCGATTTAACGCTAGTTTAAAGTCACTCGCTAGAGCGCCCTCGCGCCAATTCGTATCTGGCGCTTTAACGGGACATTAAAAACGTATCGTGTGAGAAATCCGAGACGCGGATAAAGGGCGGTAATTAATTAGTGTTCCGGACACCGCGTGTGTTGGATGCGGGCCGTACTCTTCGTCGGATTCGCGTTCTCGCACACGTGCACGACTATGCCTGGCTGCCCCGACCCTCCTGGATGTATCTCGTGTGTGCCGCCTGCAATGTTAATTGTTGGCGTAAAGCGCAAAATTGGGCGCAGGTTGAAAATTATAAGGATCAATAGTAACCTGCGGATAAATTGGCTATGGCGGCTATCAGGTCGTAATTAACGAGTGGCTCTCCTTCCTCACGTGGCTGCCAACCGACCGGCGGAGAAGCGGGAGGAGATATGAGGAACTGTTTGGTAAGCGCAGGTGGGTGAAGATGCTGATCTTCCATGTCTGCAAGTTAAAATTGATTCGCACATTAAAGCCCGCTCTTTATCGCCAACTTTCAGTAATTTCATAAGCCCGACGGCATTTAATTCTAGAATCCCACGACGATTACGCACCTATAGGCGTCACCGGTTGTGCAAAGTAACAATTGATATCAGTTTCCCCGAAGTGCGACTGATGCAGCTGTATCCTCGCGTTCGCCGCGGCACTGGGGGAATTGTAGTTTACCCTCATTCTTCTGAAGGATCTGAAGTATTGAAACGTAGCGTCCTCTCCGAACTGTTTGAAAAGATTCTCCATGGCCGACTGTAAGACGCGAGACATCGCACAATGTAACCAGGGATTTCTCCGTTATTGCGGTATCTCGTGCTGAATATTTATTACCTTCAGGTCGTCGCACTTGAAAACCCGAGGATCTACGTTCGTAACGATTACGGAGGTTGGCAGATCCTCGTCGTGGACCAGCTCGTCGATCGATCTCATATTTGCGTCGTCCCTCTCCCTCTTGAATTTGAGCTCCAGCTGTTCGTAGTTTGGATGTAGGTTCGGTAAGCCATCCACTTCGTTAATTATCATGTTCTCAATGTTTTCCAGCTCCTCCTCCTCCACCGCGTCTCTACTGCTGCGCTGCTTCTCCATTTTTATCCTCTGCTCTGCTTGGGGACAGACAGGAATTGCCGAGTGTTGAGGAAAACATTAATCGAGACCTCCGGAAGATTAAGAGCATTTAAGGACTTGGAATTACCCAGCACTGCTAACGTGTACGGGATCGAACGGAACGGAGGAAAATTATATTCGACATTCATTTTACGTAAGCGCACCGAATGTTTCCTTGTATAAAGTAGATTTACACGCGGGAATCAATAGAACGGAAGCTACGAGACGACAGATATCTCTAACAAACCCGGGCAAGTCTCCAAGATAACTCGGCGTGTAATTTATGTTCCTCATCGAGCCGCACGTTTTGGCATTTACACATTAACAACAAGCGAAATGACCAGCGTTTTATCGGCCACGCGAGCGTTCGCTGCCGCCGAGGCGCCAAGTATATACATACGACCCGATGTTGTCATTGAAGGTTGTCCCGCCGCGATTCGGAGTGCTCGGGCATCGGGGCGAACCGACGGCGACGACGACGACGCCAGGCGGTCCCGCTTACCTCTCGACTCACGGCGACTCGAGGAAGGGACCGCGCGCCGACCTGGACGTTCTCGAGCCGCTGCTTCGTCACGGGCGTATTTACGTTTCACGCGTCAGCTCAAGGGTCTACTCCAGCTCGGTGGACCTGGTCGGGCCGCGTCGCCCCGACAACGGCATCCTCAGTCGGACCGCGTGCTCGTCGCCACTGCCACCGTTGTGTCTCTCCTCGCCGACGGCGTTCGCTATTTCATCACCGCGACGGAGCCACGCGTCATCGTCAACTTCAGGGCAGCAGGAGCAGCGGACGACTCGCGCGTCCCGTCCGTGTCGCGAGATCCGATCGAATGCCCATGGTCGGCCGCGGGGTCAGGTTAGGCGCGCGCGGCCGCGAACGGGATTATCGCGGGCCAATTGGATAACGTCGCTTCGACCGGCGACATCGGACGCGCCAGCCGATTGGTCGTCGCGCGGCAAGTCACCGGGGACTCCCGGAGCGGCCCGACAAACTCCCCAGCCGCCGGCCAATCGGAACGCCCGATGGCTCCACGAGAGCCGCGCGGCGACGCTCTGACATTTTAAATTCGAATTATTGTTATCGGGGCAGCGTAGGTGCAAAGGTTCCGTTTTGTTCATTGATTTTTGCAGAATTTATGCGCGTTTAGCTTCAACGCGTAATTACTGTTACGTGAGAGACGCGTTTGAATGTAAAATGCGACTCTTGCGACGTAATACTCGTTTATTATCTATGTTACATAGATAAGATATTGCTACATTAATCTCGGTAATATATTGCACACAAAAGTTACCTTCTTAAATTATTTAACAGCTAACGAAAACTTTTATCGTGTGTATACATAAGTGATTTTCGAAAGCCAATAGCGGGCGCGGCGGCCCACAAGTTCTCAATCTCGATAGTTAACACACTGGTCATGTATACATATACATATATAAATGCTTTGCATATCACAAATTATAATTATTAACAAAGATAATTGCTATAATTCAGCAATAACTAATGCTTGGCATTAGTTTAACATTTGCTTCTTTCTCTTGAGACATTTTCATACATATATTATATATTTTTGCAATCTGAATTGAACGTCGAGTTTAAACCTATAGCTTATAAAAAATATGTAGAAAAAGATTGCATACGTCTCTTTGTTACAATACGCGCATTGCATGCACATGCGAGGATCTCCCTCGCGTTACCGAGTAAAAAAATTTAGTTTCGTTAAAACATTTGACTAGGTCGAACAAAGCGATTAAAGTAATGCCTGCGACATTGATAAAATTCCCTTCTTTGAGCAAGGAATTGTATGTATCTACAATGATAGCCGTATTGATTGCGTACGATAGAAGCAAATTACATACGAATCGCTTCGCATGTGTCATTTCGTATTGATGGTTACGCAAACGTCCGCTAAAAGAGTTTTAGACATGTGCAAAACGAAACAGACGTGCAAAGACAGGGGCAGGAACGCCTGGACATTTCTATAATGTATTCTATACTTAGAGAAACGTCCAGGCATTTCTGCCCGTCCGTTTACGCCGGCAAGTCATAGTTTTGCTTTTGTAGTCGGTTGCCTATCCGTTGCGCGGCGCGACATTTAATACTTTGATACAATGAAATGCATCTGCACAATAATAGACAATTTCTCTTCTTATCTAATAATTAATACTTAACGTTTCACACAACGGGATTTGTACTCGTGCGCATATGGTACGCGCACATACGCCACGCTCAGTCGAATGCCGTCCGCACATGTCTCTCGCAATTAAAATTAATATCACCGGTGACGAAAAGACAGAAAAGCATTTACAAACGGCCTATATCGTTGCACGTGGAGAGAGCCTTATTGTAGCGTGCAACCGCTTGCGTTTTTCGGCTCCTTGTTGCTCTGATGAACCGCCTCTTCCTTAACCGGCGGCAAATTTTGCTCCTTCCCGGCTTTCGCCGCCGGCACTCCGGTTATACTATACGTACCCAGATTCCAGATGGGATTGAGTGCCGGCATTTGGAAGTCGATCGGGCTGACCAAGCCGTAAGTGGCCTTGGTATCCAAGAGTGGAACTTCACCCGGTACTGTATGATGATATCTATAATATTTGAATTCGGATTAATGCGCTGTTTAAACGGCACACATACTTTAAAGTAACGTGTCACATTAAAATAATAAAAAAATCCAAACAAGACAGTTACATCAAACCGTTTTCCCGATTACACTTGTCGAGCGTGAGCTTCACTATGGGCGCCAAGCGTTTAAACACGGCGTGTTGATCCGGCTTGACGCGCGGCGCAGGCCCGCTCGTTTTCCCGTACTCTTGACAGAGCGCTTTCGCCTTCTGCAAACACATATCGCTTTCCTGCATCGCTCGTATCGCCTCGCCGCATTTGTCCATTGCCAGCAGGTTTTCACCGCAATAATTGTAGGCCTGGAGAAATTGGGGCGCGAGTAAGATTACAAAGTGCAAAAATGCGAGCGAGAAATAAGAAGAAAATTCTCAATTTGTAGCCGAGCGATCGCTGGATCTTTACAAATTTGACTCACATAAGATTGATAAAACGCTGCTTTCAGTTCCAGATATTTCGTCCACTGAGCCGATATCTCTGGCTTGAATGGACGAAGAGTATTGGCAGCGTCCAGGAACAACTTGCTAGTCTCGTTGGCTAAAGCTGTTATCAAGCTGGAGTTATGTTTCAGCTCTACCGCTCTAGCTACGGTCACTATTAAAAGAATGATAAAGGGACTACGTAAGCGCGATTAAACTCGACAGAATCACGTTCTCGCATGGGTACAACCTTCTTGTGCCTCCGCTGTGCACTGATTAACGTATGCGTTTAGTACACGAGGGTCTAAATCACTTCCCAGAGGCGGTGGATTGGCCAGCTGTGGCAAAAACTCGGTCTGCACAAAAGTAAAGATTCCGGCGGCTCGTCTTAGCATGCTGTGCACTTCTTTAGCTTCGTTCATCGTTATGCTATAATTATGACACATGTACCATAATTAGTAAATTAATGAATTATAATTTTGAGAGAGAAAGAGAGCATTCTTCTCCACATTTTTATATAATGACGTTCATTGAGGATTAATTAAAAGTGTTTTTCTTTAATTCACACTTACTCATCTTTCGCAGCAATCATCGCCGCATGCTTCATGAACCAAAGGCCTACGTTGACGCTCATGTTTGCAGCCTCGTAAACAGAATCGGCGCTGGAACTTAAATAGAAAGTTTTTAATAAGAGACCGCCCTGAAATCGTTCAGGGGTCGTCCTAGAATTGCCACTCGTGTAAACGTTCTTTTTACAATTAATTACAATGTGCCGCTGCCGAGTAACGTGTGTGTCCACTTGAATACGAGAACATTTCTGAGCTTGCTGGGATTAGGTCTGCCGACATGCTGCGCTTCTTCCTCGGACGGCTTGACTTCCCACAAAAATCCGTACAGCAAACTCAGGTAACTGAGAAACGCAGGCTCTATCGTGTCGCTGGTGTTGTTCGCATTTCTGATCAGATCCAGAAGTCTCGCTCGTGACAGCTTCAAGTCACTGAAAACACGAGTGTCTCTTAACGAAGAGGAAACTTTATTTATTTATTTTTTTCTAAAGGAAAAGGAGAATCTTGGGTATAAGAAAGTGGCGCGAGGGAGACTGACGTTCCATTACTAGCAAAGTTAATGCATTATAATATAAATGTTGATGTAAATTTTAACAACTATGGACTCGTATTGCAGTTATCAGATAGCGCAGTCCTCGATAACTAACAGAAAAATCGTCGCCAACAAGTGGCGACCGTGAAATGCGCAGTAGGCGATTTACATTGGAAATTTCTTAACCTGCAAAGCTTCCTGGTGGCGTCCGTAGAATTGGCGACCTTCATGTCGAATTTCTGACTCGACGTCGCTTTCAGCACGTTGCGGTGAAACCAGTGCGCCATTGCGTCGCCTGCGTCTCGCGGGGATTCACGTTCGACGTACGGCTGTTCACTCTGCCCGGTCTCGCTTGTCGCTTTTGACAGATAAGGTAAAAACGGTAGTAGCGTCACGATCGCCGCGTTCAACGGAAGAGCTACTCCACTTTCCACGGGACGCGTCACGTGCCCACGCGTAGTAGTAATTGATAGCTCGTAAACGAACGCAAGAGAGAGAGAGAGCAATAATCAATAATTAAAGTGGCTGAGATTGCAATGTATTTGCGTATATAACTGCAGTTATAATAGCACATTTATTACGGTAATAGTAGAATTATTAATAATGTATATATTTTGTAATTTACAAACTATAGTATAACGAAACGTAGAGAGCATGTCTTGTCAGCATACATGCTTCTCCGCATCTTTTCCTCCCAATTTTTCAGGGATTTCAAGTTTAAAAGGATCCTAAAGTTATCTGTTTTATCGACACATTCGAATTATATTTATTGTTACGTCTGGGTAATATAAATTATCGACCGAGACTTCGTATAACTGGACAAATCAATGTAATTATTAAATCTTGTAAATTCAAATCCTTCCCTAGTTTTCAGTCACCCTGCGTAACCTGCGATCACCGGGTTTACTGGGGATTAGGGGGTTAGTGATCCGTCGTCTAAACCAGATACAGTAATTGCATAAGTATTCACTCACCAAAATTAAGTATGGTCTTATTCTCTGTATAATATACATATATGTATATATATTTTTTATTGCGAAATACTTTCCGCTCCTCCCTACGGGAGAGAAATCGTCTCTCCTGTTTTTCTTACAGTAAGTTAGAATCTAGTGAATTAATAATACTTTGAAATTCGATAAGGTCGGCGCACGTCTTGAAGGTAAAAAAGTAGAAGAGTAACTGCGCTTGGCGACGAAGACGAAGTGGTCTTGTTCGGTATGGCGGGGGTGTTAGGGGAAATCTCGTCTCTTTGTCCCTTGGGGTGACGATCGTGGTCATCCTCTATTGTTTATTGAAGATTAGCGAGTTGGTAGAGATAAATTATAGCCGCCGGTGCTGTTCGAGTGGAGCTTCCTTCATCAGTCTTAGCTTATAATGCCTTCTCATAAAATATTACAATTGTGCCCTTTTACATTTAGCGGTACATATTTAAATGTTAACTTGCGTTTTAATTTAAGCAATAATTTGTTACAATCAGGGTTGGGCAGATACTTCAAAACAAGATATTTAAATACAAGATATAAGATACTTTTTTGACATGTATTTAAGCATGTATTTAAATACTATTTAATGTATTTAAATACTATTTAAATACTATAGTTCTTACGCATATTTAAATAGTATCTGTATTTAAATACATTTATAAATACTTTAAGATACAACTATTCTTTTTGCATTCATTTTTTAAATAATAGCAGATTTTTTTGTAATATTAAGTATATAGTCTGAAAGTAGAATCGTACGAAAATGGGATCAGAAGTAAGTTGAAAGCTGCACTTTGAAAGATAAATTTATTTATTTGCACTCATAAATTTTATAAAAATAATAGCATATACAATAGGGTGGAGCATTCAAAAAAATTTTTTAATTTTACAACGCCCGTAGGTGGAAGCGATGCGAATTTGTTTAAAAATAAAAATTTGAAAAGTTTTTATTTTTATTTTGACTCGATCGGAGCTCATCTTCTGCCTCCAACTTTAGTTTGAAAATTTGATTATATTATAGGAGTAAAATCATAAAAATTAAAAAGACGCAATTAAAAATTTCAAGAAATTTTTAATTCTATTTTCATCAACAGTTTAAAGTGTTATATTCTAGTATATTAAAAAATTAAACCAATTGAAATATACATATGTATAAGAGCAAGTCATTTTGTGTTTACGTGGACGTACACACAAAATGACCTGCTCTTATACATATATTTCAATTGGTTTAATTTTTTAATATACTAGAATATA